GTTTATTCAATTTGTTACTCTCCTGATGGTACTACATTAGCATCTGGTAGTTGTGATATGTCTATCCGTTTATGGGATGTTAAGACAGGAAAATAAAAAGCCAAATTAGATGGTCATTCTAATAATGTTATGTCAGTCAATTTCTCTCCTGATGGTACTACATTAGCATCTGGTAGTGCAGATAAGTCTATCCGTTTATGGGATGTTAAGACAGGATAATAAAAAACCAAATTAGATGGTCAATCACATTACGTTAGGTCGGTCTGTTTCTCTCCTGATGGTACTACATTAGCATCTGGTAGTGCAGATAAGTCTATCCGTTTATGGGATGTTAAGACAGGATAATAAAAAGCCAAATTAGATGTTCATTCAAATGATGTTCATTCTATTTGTTACTCTCCTGATGGTACTACATTAGCATCTGGTGGTGATGATAAGTATATAAGCTTATGGGATGTTAAGACAGGAAAAATTAAAGCCAAATTAGATTGTGATTCAATTACAGTTTATTCACTCTGTTTCTCTCCTGATGGTATTACATTAGCATACCTTAGCCAGGATTAAACTTTCAGTTTATGGGATGTTTAAACAGGACAACAAATTTCGCCTTCAGATGATCATTACATAGAAATTTTATCATAATTTAAACTCCCCATCTTTTCAAATAACATTCTTCCTGACAGTGGTATATATTTTTTATAATAATTCAGCTAACTCTATTATAACAATACTATAAATTTCCTAAAATCCTACTTTAGAAGCTCAAGAAGCTTTAATCTTGAAAGGACAGTTTGTTGATTATAAAGGATATGATTTACGATCATTATTCAAATCTAAAGGTAGTTTAATTTTAGAGAATGAACTAAAATAACAACGAAATTGATAATTATGAAAAACCATAAAAATATACAATATCAATTCAAATATAGTGTTTTCTAGCCTAAAGAGTTATTATAATTCTAATTATAATTTGTAAGTCGATTTCAGTAATGCCTGATTGTAAAATTCTTAATCTTCGAAAGCGATATTTGATTATCATAAAACTTTATATATATATCAATATGAATATAAAATTCATGTATAGGTTCACATTAATTATAATTTTAAAAATTGACTACTTTGTATGTTTTTTGTAATTAAAAATTACTAAACCCTGCCATTTTCGATGTAGATTTAACTGAAAATTTCTCGATCTCTTTGTCTATGAGTACTTTTTATTCATACAACTCATATGCATGTATCTATTCTTTATTATTAGGTTAAAATTTGAAAATCATAATCATTCATATAGCAAAAACCACTTCCACATATCTCAGGCGACATCTTGTAAATTAAATCCCATTTTTAATCCTAAAAATGTCCGTTTTATGATTTTTGAAAATAGTGCATAATTAGCTATCATAAAAACAAAGAGTAAAAGAAATTAGAATAAAAGTAAAAAAAGTTTCAAAACAATTAAATCATTATTGATATTTATATTATTATTATACCTGTGAATAGCGTCTCTTAAAAAATTACTTGTAAAAATAAATATAAAAAATTCTGTTTAAAACTGATCTTTAATAGAAATACAATAAATGAAATCAGTTCTATATGAATATATATTAAATAATAAAAATGGGATAGTAAGAGAGTTTTAAGTTAAAATGTTAACAAGATAATCATCAAGATGAGATAGAAACGATCTGTTAGAATTAATTTTGTAAAGATTTCAGACTAAATTGCTTTAAATGTAATAAGAAGGGAAGAATCCAGCATGTTGATCATTTTGATGAAGTTGAAAAATTCAATAGTTTGATTGAATTTATTGAAAATACAAATAAAGAATGTGATAATTTGATAGATGAACTTAATACATATGTAGAAAGTCTGAATCAATCATTTTCTTATTTAAAAAGTGGAATCAGATAAAAATGTTCATTACAAAAAGAAAGATTAATTAATTTAAACTCATTGTAAATAAATGACTATTTGAATTCAACCATCAAATTCATTGAATACAAATAATCAATTACAAAAATAATATCAGATTAAACAAAGAAGTTAACTCATACATTTAATAATTTATATGAATAATTATAATTATCGTCAATTAATTATTATTAAATAGATCATAATTCTATAAAATTATCTAATGATTTTTATGATAAAGGTAATTTTAAATTATAATATTTAGGTTATGATTTATATATTAATTCTAAATATGATGAGGCAATAGTTCTTTTAGATATGTCAATATAACAAAATGGTAATAACTATTTATCTTTATGGTGCAAAGGTGAAGATTATTGAAAAATAATAGGTGCATGTTTAATATTTCTAAAGAAATACAAGGATGCAATTAGTTGTCTAGATAAAACATTAGCGATTGAACCAAAACATGCTTTTTCCTTATATTACAAAGGTAGATTGAATCACAATACATTTAATAGGAGTATGTTTAAGAAATTTAAATAAATATGAAGAGGCAATCGGTTGGCTGGATAAAGCATAAGCTCTTGATCCTAGTGATGTTGATTTTTTATTTGAGAAAGGTAGATTGAGTCATAGTTAAATTAATAGGCCAATGTTTAAGAGATTTAAAACAATATGAAGATGCAATCAGTTGGCTGGATAAAGCATTAGTTATTGATCCTAAGCATGTTGATTCCTTATTCGAGAAAGGTAGAATGAGCCATAATTAACTTAATAGGTTAATGTTTAAGCTTGTTAAAGAAATACGAAGATGCAATAAATTGGCTGGATAAAGCATTAGCTCTTGATCCTAGTAATGTTTATTCCTTATTTGAGAAAGGTAGAATGAGTCATTATTAACTTAATAGCTTAATGTTTAAGATCGTTAAAGAAATACGAAGATGCAATAATTTGGCTGGATCAAATATTAGCTATTGATAATAAGAATATTAATTCCTTAATTTAGAAAGGTAAATTGAATCACAATTAATAGGTGTATGTTTAAAAAGATTAAATAAATAGGAGGATGCAATTAGTTGGCTGGATAAAGCATTAGCTATTGATCCTAAGCATGTTGATTCCTTATATTAAAAAGGTAATTTAATGACAATATAATTAAAAGGGGTATGTTTAAAAAACCTAAATCAATATGAAGATGCAATTAAGTGTTTAGATAAAGTTTTATATATTGATCCTAAGCATTTTCTTTCCCTATTTGAGAAAGGTAGATTGAGTAATAATCAAAATAATAGGTTAATGTTTAAGATTGTTAAAGAATTACGAAGATGCAATCAGTTGGCTAAGTAAAGCAGTAGTTATTCATCTTAAGAATATTAATTCATTGTTTGAGAAAGGTATGTTGAGTCATAATTAAATTGATAGGTTAGTGCTTAATCATTTAGATGGATAATGCATTAGCTATTAATCCAAAACATGTTTTTTCCTTAAGTGAGAAAGGTAAGTTAAATCATTATTAATTTAATAGGCAAATGTTTAAGAATATTGAAAAAATATAATGAGTACTTGTAATTATTGGATTAAGCGCTCTCCATTAATCCCTAACATACATTATCTCTTTAAACAAAAGGTATCTAATAATCTTAATGTTTAGGAGATTGTTTAAGAGATTTATAAAATTATCAAGAAGCTCTGATTTATTATGAGAAATCATTAACTATTGATCCAAATGATCAATATACAATATATTAAAAGGGTATTATAAAATTATTTAATAGATTTTTGTAAGAAGATATTATTACAATATAGATTAATCATAAAATGATTTTAACCTAACTATTTCTAACGTTTGTTATCAAAATTTTTAATTTCAATAAAATTTAATTATTAATGATTTCTAAAAATTTGCTGGCTGTATCAAAGCTATAAAATTATTGAAATTTCATCAAACTTCAATCTTGAGTTTTGTTCATAAACTATATTGTCTTGCTCATATACTCATTAAATAATGTTCAATCCTTGAAAGAAAGCTTATTATAATTGAAAGAAATCCTAATTCTAGGTATTTGTATCAAGAATTTTCATTGATGTAGTTTATTGAATACTTTTCCTCCAATTAAAACAAGTTTAATAACTAAGCACAGACTTTTCTGCAAAAGAAGCAAAGGGATAGTTGTATTTTTTGTAACATAAGTCAACTGTATTAAAAATGAACATACCAATAAAATGCTTTTTTTCCCCCCAACACTTTGAATAAATCCTAGTAAGGTATATTTAGAGTTATCTGAATGGAATCAATTTTTGTTAGCTATCTATTTCAGTCTTGTTTTGATCATCAAGCAGCCAAAATCAGAATTCTTGTTATATTCTTAAACAAAGGTTCATCAATAATATATACAAAACAGCTAAGACCTCAATCCTAAATCATACTAAATAATAGGAAAATCAGGGCAAAAAAAATTCTTGATTGTTAACTTTTCAACTAATCTGCACCTTCTCTACACTAGAACAATATACATTTTTAGAATAGCAAGATTCATGCAATTTCTCTTTCACATATATTCTTCTTTGTAAAAATTTAAGATTGATTGAGCTCGTTTATAAAAAAATGAGATTCTCTTTGAGTTTATCTCATTAATATGCTAGGTAGTTCAAGAATAAAAATCTTTATTAATTAAATTCTATCAAAGATTTCAAATTTATAGTGTTAATTCAATTAGATTCATAATAGCCAAAAAATTGCAATATTTTAGAGTTAAGGTATTTTTTAGACAGTTATGAATCCTTCGAAAATGAATCATTGCTTTTATTTTTTAACTCTTATCAATTTATAAACCGTTAAAACAAATCATTATTGAGGCTTCATTTTTATTTTTTTTTATATAATATCACCTATTGATGACCCTTTCATTGTAGACACTAATCCTTAGTGAAAATGAACCCTTTTACTAATGAAATTATTCCTTCTATATCTAAATTTATGGTTAGCATGAGTGATAACTTTACCAAGTCCCATCGTTTTGAAACATTTTGTTTTTTTTAGACGGATTTAATTTATCACAATAAATGTTTGATTTCCTTATAGTTTTCTATTGTATCTCTTTTGTCGAAGTTTTATATTATGATAATATTATTGAATAGATTTTCAATTTTTTGTAGGTTAGTTAGGTTATCCAAAAACTAAAACCTCCAAAATATTTAGTCTTACCTTCATGCATACATATGTATAAATGTGTTTATATCTAAAACTCTGAAGAGTTACTATTATAGAAGTGCGTTTCTTAAGTTATTTAAATTACAAAGAAAACCTAAACCACTCTGCTTATCAAGGTTCTATGTCAGTAAACATAAAGTTATCGCTTTTAAAATTCAGCCCCAAAGTTACTATTTATATAAACAGAGAATAGCGGGATTAAGATAAGGTAAAATTTTTTGGTGATGTGTGAATATATTTCGATAGGATTTTTAAAGATTTATATACTTTTCTTCTCCAAATATCAATAAACGAAACGGCAATTTTTGGCCCAAATTCACTATGGGTTGCTTCAAAGTTAATAGAATATATATTATAAAAACATATACAACCGATCATCAATTAGGAGTATTTGATCTGTTTTTAATTTAAAATTTATTCATGCTTTTTAAAGCTTGAATTTTCTACGTTAAAGGTTGTAACCTTTAAAAAATTTAGGAAACCTCCAGACGTTGTAGATCCATACTACTTACCAATAGAGGCTAAGTGATAAACATGATGTTTGAATGGCAGAAATTTGGGAAATATAACCACAATATTATTCAATAAACAATGCCCTATGTGGAATTTGTTGATATTTTTAAACACCTTTTAAGAAGGAGAAGGATATATTGAAATGATGAAACAAACTGATTTTGTAATTTATGTAACCAAAATCTCAATAATTTATAAAGAAATTTATGCCTGATCGTATTTTTAAAATACTTAAAAAAGCAGAAGTATCCATATTTTGCTTTCTAATGTTAGGGCGAGGCAGGTCACTAATTAACATGATTTTCAATTCAAATCTTACTTATTTGCTCATGTATTACTTTNTCAAAGCTATAAAATTATTGAAATTTCATCAAACTTCAATCTTGAGTTTTGTTCATAAACTATATTGTCTTGCTCATATACTCATTAAATAATGTTCAATCCTTGAAAGAAAGCTTATTATAATTGAAAGAAATCCTAATTCTAGGTATTTGTATCAAGAATTTTCATTGATGTAGTTTATTGAATACTTTTCCTCCAATTAAAACAAGTTTAATAACTAAGCACAGACTTTTCTGCAAAAGAAGCAAAGGGATAGTTGTATTTTTTGTAACATAAGTCAACTGTATTAAAAATGAACATACCAATAAAATGCTTTTTTTCCCCCCAACACTTTGAATAAATCCTAGTAAGGTATATTTAGAGTTATCTGAATGGAATCAATTTTTGTTAGCTATCTATTTCAGTCTTGTTTTGATCATCAAGCAGCCAAAATCAGAATTCTTGTTATATTCTTAAACAAAGGTTCATCAATAATATATACAAAACAGCTAAGACCTCAATCCTAAATCATACTAAATAATAGGAAAATCAGGGCAAAAAAAATTCTTGATTGTTAACTTTTCAACTAATCTGCACCTTCTCTACACTAGAACAATATACATTTTTAGAATAGCAAGATTCATGCAATTTCTCTTTCACATATATTCTTCTTTGTAAAAATTTAAGATTGATTGAGCTCGTTTATAAAAAAATGAGATTCTCTTTGAGTTTATCTCATTAATATGCTAGGTAGTTCAAGAATAAAAATCTTTATTAATTAAATTCTATCAAAGATTTCAAATTTATAGTGTTAATTCAATTAGATTCATAATAGCCAAAAAATTGCAATATTTTAGAGTTAAGGTATTTTTTAGACAGTTATGAATCCTTCGAAAATGAATCATTGCTTTTATTTTTTAACTCTTATCAATTTATAAACCGTTAAAACAAATCATTATTGAGGCTTCATTTTTATTTTTTTTTATATAATATCACCTATTGATGACCCTTTCATTGTAGACACTAATCCTTAGTGAAAATGAACCCTTTTACTAATGAAATTATTCCTTCTATATCTAAATTTATGGTTAGCATGAGTGATAACTTTACCAAGTCCCATCGTTTTGAAACATTTTGTTTTTTTTAGACGGATTTAATTTATCACAATAAATGTTTGATTTCCTTATAGTTTTCTATTGTATCTCTTTTGTCGAAGTTTTATATTATGATAATATTATTGAATAGATTTTCAATTTTTTGTAGGTTAGTTAGGTTATCCAAAAACTAAAACCTCCAAAATATTTAGTCTTACCTTCATGCATACATATGTATAAATGTGTTTATATCTAAAACTCTGAAGAGTTACTATTATAGAAGTGCGTTTCTTAAGTTATTTAAATTACAAAGAAAACCTAAACCACTCTGCTTATCAAGGTTCTATGTCAGTAAACATAAAGTTATCGCTTTTAAAATTCAGCCCCAAAGTTACTATTTATATAAACAGAGAATAGCGGGATTAAGATAAGGTAAAATTTTTTGGTGATGTGTGAATATATTTCGATAGGATTTTTAAAGATTTATATACTTTTCTTCTCCAAATATCAATAAACGAAACGGCAATTTTTGGCCCAAATTCACTATGGGTTGCTTCAAAGTTAATAGAATATATATTATAAAAACATATACAACCGATCATCAATTAGGAGTATTTGATCTGTTTTTAATTTAAAATTTATTCATGCTTTTTAAAGCTTGAATTTTCTACGTTAAAGGTTGTAACCTTTAAAAAATTTAGGAAACCTCCAGACGTTGTAGATCCATACTACTTACCAATAGAGGCTAAGTGATAAACATGATGTTTGAATGGCAGAAATTTGGGAAATATAACCACAATATTATTCAATAAACAATGCCCTATGTGGAATTTGTTGATATTTTTAAACACCTTTTAAGAAGGAGAAGGATATATTGAAATGATGAAACAAACTGATTTTGTAATTTATGTAACCAAAATCTCAATAATTTATAAAGAAATTTATGCCTGATCGTATTTTTAAAATACTTAAAAAAGCAGAAGTATCCATATTTTGCTTTCTAATGTTAGGGCGAGGCAGGTCACTAATTAACATGATTTTCAATTCAAATCTTACTTATTTGCTCATGTATTACTTTTACTTAAAGTAGGGGTATTTAATGAACAATTATATAATACTAATTTCCACAATATCTTTATAATCAGACAAAATGAACGGCAGAAAAATAGATGAGTTCAAACAAATAGTAGATATTCATAGATTACTCAGAAGGATTGAAATTATCCCGTTAAAATGATGTCTATTAAAATGAAAGTTGGTTGTTGTTGCTACTTGGTTTATATGCAATTTAAAAAAAAGTCTACCGTTCTTTATAAGAGCAATAAATGTTAATGAAACAACAGCTAAGAAAATTTAAAATATAAAATGCAGAAGCATAATTAAAATTTATTAATCCTAGGATAATTTCTTTGAAAAAACTTTGATCCTAAAGAAAATATATGTCTTATTTAAATAATTTCTATAATGATTGCTTCGGATGTTTTTCCAAAATTACTTACAAATGTTTTCGATAAGAGATTCTTTTTAATACTCTTGTGTGACGTTCTTTTAGAAATATGTTGTTAGTATCATAGTATCAGTTCTTAAATTTAAAAAACACCAAGTAAACAAAGAAGTGTTGTTAAGTATAATATAAACCTTTGAAATATTATATTAGTTATTTAAGTAATTTCATTTAGATAAGATTTACCATAATTTAGAGTTGCTCTAACAAGATTTCTCATTGTTGACAGCTGAATTTTTATAATGAATACTGAAAAATTAACAACCAAAAATATGTTGTTTTTAGTTGGTGTTTAACTTTGAATCATAATATTTTTGTGTAGGTTAACATAATATAATTAGGAGTGTACCATCATTTTTTAATAAAGGGTTTTTTACAAATTCATAAATTCTTTCATTAAGTAGTTAATTTATAAAGGGTAAATAATTTTTTCAAAAAATATTTGCAAAAAACAGGCTTTAAGTTCATTTACACAATTCTCATTTATTATTTCTAAAAAAATAAATAGATTATATTATAATTCATATTAATGAATTAATGTTAAGAGCATCCATAATATCCACTTAATCTAATATGCATAAGTTCTTACAAATGTCAATAGAATAGAAAGCTTTTGCGTAGCATGTTTACTATTGCATGGAAAGTAATATATAAAGGCTCATATGTAATAGATGGGATATTTTATGTGAAGGAAAAGTGATATATTTATAAAATTTTAATATACTTAAGTGGTGATGGATAGTATGATGATAAAGGGGGTGGAATTAAGATGGGAGATTGGGTGGAAGTAATAAGTGGATTTACAATTTATCATCAAGTAATTTGCAAAGGATCTTATGTAAATGGAAAAAAAGTTGGTTAATGGACAAAATTGATAAAAAGTAACGGTGATAATGAAAACGATTTTTAAAAAATTGAAGAATAATATTACGATAATTGAATTATAATTATTCTAATGTACATCTTCAATATTCCAACTTTTAATGATTATGATATAATTTAATTTAGGTCTGCAAGTCTTTTTGTAATTTAGAATTTATAATTTTAGTTATTAGTGTATGCTGACTGGCTGGCCTAATTCTTTTATTTGATCTTTAATCTTATTATTAATTCATCTTACTAGAATTATAAGCTAAAATTATTATCCTCAAATGATCATCAGTTAAATTTAGGTCATATTTTAATGAGGATTTCATTTGGCACCTTAATTTTAATTGAAAAATTCTCCTTTCATCCTTTGAATGAAACAAAGATAACTATATATTTTCTTAGGTTTTCTTCTTGGATAGTTTAATAACAAAAGCCCCATACAATTTTCCTTAAAGGATTTTAAACTAGTTTTCATCTCAATTTAGTGAGAAAACCGAAAGTAGTTCAATATATGAACCCATTAACTTGCATTGTTATTCATCTTACCTTTTTATTATACATTTTTTAAAACGTTTTCAATTACTTGTTAATATGCATCTTTATCTCTTTCTTTAAAATGATCCATATAAGGCTCAAACTCATATATTTCTATTTTTAAGCATGACCCAACAAATGAATGAATTTCAACATTTAAATAAAAAATTTAAGTAAAAGTATCCAATATTTTTTTTTTTAGAATAATGAGTTGTTATTCTATCAATTCAAATTTCAATCCAACATTGTCTCCTAATTCTCATAGAGATTTTTATGTTCTTTGTTGAAGAAGGTATTGTAGTTGTTGATACTTATTTTTCAGTTAATTCTTTTTCTTAATTAAATGGATAAAATCTAATTTGAATATTTGTGAATTTTAATAGAATTTAATCAAATTTTTTTGGTTTTAATGCTTAATTATATAACCATACTAAGTCATTTTAGTCTGCAATTTCATCAATAGAATTTTCATCTTTTTAATTCATTTATTTTCTTAATAGAAAACAAAAATTTTTATTCTTAATTATATTATAAACTATTCCATTATTATTATTAACAGCCAAATATAAAAATTTACTACATTATACTTATCTTAAGTAAAAGAATCATAGACTTATGAATTTATCTATACATAAATCAATTTCTAGATAATTACTGATTTTTCATAAATCCTATACTTTTTAGTTAAATCATTTGAAAATAACTAATTTGTCAGGACTTATTGAAATAAGTTAAATTCCATTGCAGCTCCTAAATTAAAATGATAGAAAAAAAAGGCTTTAATTTGATCATTTTGATATATATTATTTAATCTTTTTTATTTCTTTCAATCCTCATCTCAATCTTAACTTTATGTATCTACTCTAATCATTTACTTAATAGTTTCAAAGTTTTAAATGTCTTAACTTTATAATAACCTATTTAAGACTTTATAGTAATTTAGTCAGAACCTTAAATATATATAAAATTATATTTAGATATATAATTTAGTCATTAAACCCATCTATCTGTTTTGGTTACTTCGTCTATCACCATTTCATAATTGTTGTTCCATCTTTAAGAATTAAACTCTTACTCAACTTTATTCTAATAAAATAGTTATAGAATTTACTTTATTTATATCACTTATATTATTAGTTGAAGGTTACAAAAACTAGGCTTGTGAATACGAAGTTTTTACTTTCGAACTATTTAATTCAACTGGTCGTGAAGAATAATTGCTATATTCTGAAGTTCTTGGTTAATTTTTGTTCATCTCATAGGCTCTCATTTATTATTATGGATAAATAGATTAGGATTCTATATTTATTTATTAAACTGATGATTATTTTATTACTTTCTAACTATTACTTTCAGATTTATCAATTTGATAAATATACTCTTTTTAAATTTATTGTTTTTACTCAATTTAAGATTTATAGGTTTCAATTAATAATTATTATTCTTCGTATCTTTTTTAAAGCCATTAATTGTCTGATGCTTAGACCAATAGCTTATCGATTTCACTTCTTAATTCAATGACCTATCAAGATGAAAAAATAATATACAGTTTTTTATAATCTCTTTATCTCCATTTTATAGACCTCACTTTATTCATTGTCTTTATATTCATTTAAAGTTATTTAAATTGTCTCATAACTTTATTACAATGATATGTATCGTTACTCAATTTATTCATATCTAATTTTCCATTAGTTGACCTCTTAATCAATTAGGAGTTTTTATTTTTGTTCTAATTTATCATATTTTTCTTTCCATACTTAGATCTACTCTTTCAAAGTATTGGTATTTTCCATATTAATAGACACTGTCGATATTCGTTACTAATAAGTTACTATGTCTGATCTATATTAATCTGATTCCAATTATAATTATTTAATTCTATCTTCCTTTGATATTAGTAATTATTCAAGTTCTTTGATTCTATATTATAGTGTATCCTATTATTATTGAGTTATTTTGAATTCATCTATTTTTCTTTTTAGTTATTAATTTAATGAAAGTTCTTGTTCATACAAAGCTTTAATATCATTCAACTATCTTTTCACACTTTAATCTTATTCAGTATTTTATTCATATAAGTATATTTTCCTAGTGTATTATTCCATTTCTGTATTTTGTTTTCTGAGTTAGTCTTTAAGAGATTGGATTTATGATAGATAATTCTCAGCGTCTGATTTTCTGTTTTCAAATTAGTAGATTTTCGTTTTATACGTTTCAATTTAAATTTATTATTTTTCTATTTATTCTTATAACAATGTGCATTTGGTTGTCATGGTTTCTAATTACTAAGACTTCATTTTCAAAAGTCTTTCAACTTCAGGATCAACTTCTTTTTGAACAAATTTAGACTTTTCTTCGATGATGTAATATTGGGATTACAATTAGTTATATCTAAGTTATAATTAATTGTATTGATCAACTTTTAATTATAATTATCTTTCAGTTTCAGGATCTGGTTGATAAATTGTGCGAGTTTCATACATACTTTATTATTTGAGTTTATCTTGGTAGACTTGCAATTAATCTTACAATAATAAATATCTAGTATTCAACTCATCATATTATCTGATTTTTTTTTAAAGCAATTATTCTGTTTCAGGGTCATTTTGATAGATGACCTTAGTTTCATACTACATTTCCTTTTGCATGATCTTGCTAGTTTCTTAAAGTGAATAAAACTAGGATTGTAATAGAGTATATCTGGATTGCAATTCATACAATTGTTTTTCAATATCTGGATCTGTTTGATAGATTACCTTTGTTTCATATTAGATCTCCTTTTGAACATTCTAGGTCTTTTCTTATAACGTGAAATATTAAGATTATAAAATGCTGTATTTGGACTACAATTCTTTGAAAAGCCTTTCAGTTTCAGGATCTGCTCTATAAATAGTGGTGACTTCACTCTTTTTATTGGATAATTCATTCTGTAGTCTCTCAATTTTAGAATTTAGTCTATCATTATCTTGCTTAAGTATTTCATTATCTTGCTGAAGTTCAAATAACTCCTTTTGTAATTAATCGACATCCACATCATTATTACCTCCTCTTAACTCAAAATTATCATTATTTTATTGTTGATTGTCCTACAATTACTTAATTTTGGCTTGTTGTTATTAATTTTCATATTCTTTTTGATTGAGTTTTCTTTTTAGATCTTCAATTTCTTTTTTATCTTGATTATCAGGTGTTTTTGGTTTAATTAGTTCCTAAATGGAAGATCATAAATACTTTTTGTATTGCCTAATATTATTGTTTCCACATATCAATTTCTTTGCCCTTATCGACCAAGAACTAACTCATTCTATTCATTTCCACCAATAATGATTCAATCCTATTATCTTATTCTTTTAACTATTTTAAAATATTTAACAGCATACTTTTTTAAGATGGTTAATGCAATCTGGACATTGTTAGAGTGGATTTCTCGGTTAAGGTGATTGAGATTGTTTGATTGATGGGAATTGTTGATTTGGTGGTTCATGATTTCTAACTTTGACAATAAATTTATGAGTCATATTTGCTCCTTGAGGTAATTATGATAATCCATGCAGTTCTTCTCCATTTTCTAATCTCTATTAAATTTCCCTTATTTCTTGCGGTGTTAATTGTTCAAGATGATTATTGAAGGCTTGTCGTTAACTTGGTGGCTATTGCTGAACTAAATCATTCATAAATCTCATTTAAGAGTTAGACAACTATGCTGATGCAGCTGTCTATCTATAGGATGATGGTTGCGATTATGGTATATATCTTGATGAGTTGGAACGTGGTATTGAGGATGAGCGATCCATTTTTTAATTAATATTAAAATGTCAAGGTAAGTTTATGTAAGTCCAGAAAGAATGACTATTCAAAAATTGGAAGAATACCCCTCTGCCTTGTAGGACTTGAATTTTAATCATTGTACGATAATGATTTCATTTATGATTAGCGAGATTTTAGGAGATTGAGGCAGAGTTCAAAGCTTTGGATGTCGATTAAAGTGGTTGGTTGTCATTGGCAGAATTGGAATTGCATTTGAAAAGGAAAGGATGTGATTAACAATTAGTGCAGGAGATCTTCAATGATTTGAATACCAATTAGGATCAAAAGATATCCAAAGACGAGTTCACTCACGGTTATCTGAATAAAGAGTAAAATCTTAAAGATTAAGTTAAATCATTAGAAATCAAAATCAAGCAAATTAGAACAAGCGAAGACGACTTTAAACAACAAATAAATGTAGCAAACCATTAATAATTAATAATTACACTCCAATCGGGTTGTCTAAACTAATTGTATAGATAGTAGGATGACATAATAAAAGCATCCAAATAAATTGAAGTTCTCTTTCAATGCAATGAAGCCTCTGATGGACATGACAGATTTAGCAAGCCAAGCTTGAATTGCGAATATCCAGTTTGGGGTGATAAAATTACCTATATTCTTAATGAAGTACATCAAATAGAAATTTCAGTTGAATTAATTGAAATACATTAACTTTAAAAATAGTCTCTGGGCAAAATTAGAGTTCACAAGAACTTGCAATAGGACTTCCAAAACCAAGAGTAACTAATTTTCGAAGGCATCGGGGAAATCCTGGTTCTTTTTGAATACATAAATAATTGGGTAAATTATCATTTATTATATCCTTCTAGAATGAATACATTTAAGTGCAAATGCAATTTTGTGAAGAGAATGTCAACAATCTCCTTGATTAAATTAGATAGATTAAGAGAAAATTGTACTTTATGAAGCAATTATACAACTTTGATAACAGCAACTTAAAGTAGAAGGAAACTCTATCGCTCTCTCTATTACCAGCATACAAACAGGATAACTAGATAAATAAATCCTTTCAACAATAAGAAAATAAGGCTTAATATGATACTCAGCCAATTTTCAATTAATAATAATAGCAGCCATAACAAGAATAAATATAGATTCAGTAAATTCCAGAATATCAGTAAGACTACCAGCCATAAAATAATTTACTTGATGCTTTTAACATCTTTAAGCATTCTTAAAGTGATCCCGAGGCATTCATTGTTAGTATTGAATAGATGAAGAGTCAACCTAATTTCAAACTAATGGGGATTTTAGTTCTACTCATCACTCTTAATATTGCATTTGCCAGATGTGATTTTCTGGGCTTAATTCTAGTTCTGTTAAGTATCCCTTATCAAAATAGGAAATGGAATAATTAGTAACTTTAATTCTATACTTATGGAATGATCTTCTCTTTGATATTAGAGTTTTACTGGTATTTTTATCTTATTACAAAAGGATCATAAAGTTTTCAAATTGCTTTTCTAATCTCTATTAATGCAACAATTAATATGGATTCGCATTGTCAATCTACTTTTTATGTCTACTCACATTCCTAGGGAAAATTTATGTACTATATAAAGTCCGTGGATATCATTGATAAATTGAGTTATAAACTTTAGATTAAGTATCATTTTACACAATTTAATATAATAATTAAAATATCAATATTAATGTATAAGGAGTTGAGATATACGCAAAATCATCTAAATAACCCACTTCCTGAAGAGAATATGGTCGAGTGTGTCTTCGAATCCCTTGTAAATGAATTAAAATACTTTCGTTAAAATGTTCCCGTTGGTTGTTTAACAGATAAATGCTCAAATAATTAAAAGGAGAGACAGGATCTAAGTATGTTCTCTGGAGCTGGAGGATATCTGTATTTGTATTTGAGAATGTATGAATTTGTTAAAACTCTTCCAGAAGATCTCTAATCCTCTTGTACTAGTGGATTAAGTGATTAAGAATTGCCTGAATTTTATAACCCAGAAATTTATTTAGATTTAGCTCAAAAATAATTTGAAGCTATGCAAGCAGTCTTAAAACCGGATAGGAATATTACATTTCTGATGAGCAACATAGCCACTTCACTATTGGGTGCAGACCTATATTTCATAAAAAAAGACTAATAGAACTTCTCGAAACATATTTCCTAAGTTTTGAGCATCTTTGCCAATATTATGGCAAGTCCAAATTAATTTTAACAAGAGTTATTATATGGAATCCCAGGATATTTATATTTCTTCTTGTGGATAAATCAAAGATACTCCAAAGAACAAGGACCATATTAATTAGATTTAACCTCACACATATTTAATTTATGCAAGATGATTATTCTTAATTGTGGTGAAGGAATTATGAAGTGTAAATTTTATAATTAGACTTATTTTGGTGGTGCTCATGGAATTTTAGGAATTATTCAAGTATTATTGTTGAGTTATGAATAAGCCAAAGAATACTTTCATTTAAAAGACGAGAAGTTTACCTTGAAAATGCTTGAATCTATTTAATTGACTCTGGATTACCTAATAAAGATCTATAATAAATCGGGTAATATTCCACCTTCAGTTGAGGATGTGCATAGTACAGAATTATTCCAATTTTGTCATGGAATCCCAGGGGCAATAACTCCTTTGTTGAAAGCCTATCAGATATTTAATAAATAAGAATACTTGAATACTGCAATTCACATGTCAGAGACCTTGTATATATACGGAATGATTAAGAAAGGATATGGGATATGTCATGGCATACCAGGGAATAGTTATGGATTCATGCAATTATATTAGGTAACCAAAAACGAGAAACTTAAAAGATATGCGTTCTAATTCTTATAGTACAAATAAAATCCTTTTGTTTTCAATGAGGTGAAGAACTTTAAATTCCATGATAGATTCAATGTCGGAATGTCTGATAATCCTTTCAGTTTGATGTTGGGGTCGGTTGGTGACATGTGTGCTATGATGGATTTTATAAATTACAAAAGAATGCCAGGGTATGAGGTTTGATTGATATATATACATAATGGTTGAATATTGTTATTGAGATTCTCAGATGTATTTTAAATAAGTTTATGATTATTGATATTATGTTCATAATGATCAAATCTTATCTCCTGCTGCTTGTCTAAGAGCAAGTTATTCTCTAAGAGTTCTAAGAGATTTGTTAACCAAACCAATAGTATCTGAAACAACTTATCTATCTGCATCTCTAAATGAGAATAAGGATACAATATATACCTAGCTGATCTGGCATCGGCATAGTCTTTAGCAGCCTCTTCGCATTGAGTCCATCTATCAGTTCTTCTTTCATTAAGTAATTCTAATCTTTGGTTAGTATTCTCTAATGAAGCTTCGACTTGTCTGATAATATCTGAAACACTAGCAAAGTCAGATTCAGCATTAGCTAGTTCACTTCCTGCAACAGTCAAGGCAATAACCAAAAGCTTTCTTGTTTTATTGTACGCTTCAACTCTTTTGTCTTCAGCGAATCTTTATAAACTTAAAGAGTCACTAACTTCATTGATTAATCTGTCAAATAGATCGACAACTCTAAAGGATGTAGGGATAATGTGAATACTTTTAAATAGTGCTATCATCAAATTTGGCTTTGCTTGTAATTTGACTCAAAAGTTTCATGACTGGAACATATCTGAGCATGTGTTTAGTGTGAGCCAATTTCTTTTAGGACTCCTTAATGTGCTTTTGTAATAAGGAAATGTGTTCTTTTGGCATTTCTTTAGCTTATTGAGTTTGTTTCTTTTGAACTAATGAGGAAGTAGCTTCAACATTGGCCTTGATGATGTTTCTGGCTTCAGTCAATACGGCTATGGCAGTGTTGTGGTCAGCGGCAATCTCCTCGAAATCAGCGTGTTAAGCAGCTCTTTCAGCATCTAAGTCGTCAATTTCCTTTTGATATCCTAATCGATCAATGTACTGATATTTTACCCTTAACTTCTGCCTTTTTAGCTGTAACCAATCCAGAAATAATTGCTCTTCTTGGATACAAATCTCCTTCCAATCTAGCTTCAAGAGAGATTCTCTCAGAATCTGTATTAGCTATATCTTTGTCATAAGCAGCTATATCAACATTGCATGAGTCCTAAAAATCTCTGTTCTCTGCATCATCCTCTCTCTGTTCTTATTAATATCTGTCTTCCAAATCAGACAATGTATTTAGTAATCTATCCAAAGGATCTCCAGTCTCCAATTATAACCAAATGGTATCAAACAATGTTCTTCCAAATGGAGTTGCATCTATTCTGTGGATCAATTAAATATATTCAGTTTCTGATGTTGCAAATGCTGTGCATGCAAGAACTAATAAGAACACACTTTTCATTAAATTAATTATTGAGTTTTTAAGCCGATTCACATCAAGTCTCTATTAGCCGTTTTAATATTATTGCAATCACTCACTTACAAACGGATTATATATAATTTAAATAATGTATTCAATTATCAAAACCTTATTTATGTTTAATCCATTCCGTATTCCCTTCAAAATTTAGATTGAGATTACAATATTCTTGTTATTTAAATACATTTATATATATTCCTACTAACGAGATGAATTTTGATATTAAATAAAAGGAGTTCTAAGTTCTAGTTAAAAAAGGGAGTAGATACCTTATTGATTTTTGGAATCTACTTGTAGATAATAACTTAAATTAAGGGGATCATATAAATCCTATTCAAAAATGTTGAATTTGTCTGACTTTTTATAGAATGTACGCTAGGATCATTATGATTAGTATGAGGATCTATTATTATCAAGTTGAAGTTCTTCTTTTATTGATTATTATGATTAAATCTTAACAATATCTTTGATAGTTTAATTTCAGTTGATAAAAGTTTTATAAGAATATTTATTTATTTGTCGATATTAAATTGTTGTCAATTATTTCTAAGGAGAATCTAAAAAAAGAAAATAATAATATTATATTCTTAATGTTTATACTTCACCTTAGGTGTTAATGTCAGTTTATATTTTTGCATGATAGTTAGCATTGAAATTGGAGTTATTTATGTTAATATAGATTTTAGTTTTTCGTGTCAAACTTTTCAGAACAACAATTAAGGTTGTCATTATTAACATTTTTATTTGGTGAGGATTTCCTTTTAAGATCAAAGAATCCTATAGTTGTTTTATGAATTATAATTGATTGTTCAATATTCAAATTCGTTGAATAAAATAAGGAATCTTTAAATAATATCTAAACTATATTTTTTGTTCATTAAATAGATGAGAGCTAATAGGATTTTAAGAAAATGTAGTTAGTATCATATATAGAAATATCTAATTTATGTTATTTAATAATATAAAATACAATTCATACTCACATATCGAAAATTAATTCTACAAAAAGAGCAAAGAAAACAAAAGACATAGCCATAAAGAATTTTGCTAAATGTTTCCTTCCTGCCGAACCCAGATTATTTTCCATAGTTTGATTGTTAATTTCAAATAGAATTCTGCCTATTATGAATATTTCAAAAAGTTACCAGGCCCAATCAACTTAACTTTGGTGGTGTCTTTTAAATTAATTTCATATCGAATAAAGTCTTGTATGCCCAAAATTGAATTGTTTGGCACTACAATGGATTCTCCATCTCCAAGATCTTTATCAATGACTGTGCCATTAGTTTTTATGAAGATTAATTGTTATTTCATAAGATCTTTTGTAAAGACTATTTTTTAATAGGTGGTTTAGAAATGAAAGAATTGCCCAACTTCGGCAATATCATTGGTTGCTATAATTGATGATTCTTTGATTAGATAATTATTAAAAATAGCAGCATCTAAAATCATCACTTTCCCACTAGCAGCACTTATGCCCACATACGCTATATTATCCTTGCTAGTATTTAGAACTGTCACTTGATTTTCTGTTAGGAAGTAGGATTTTTTAGTTTATATTGATATATTGTCTGAATAGTATTACACGTAGTTGTTTTAAGAGTTAATCTGCTCCCCAGGGAGTAAGACGACTTGCACCACATTATCTCCAATGATTGAGAATTTAATTCCTTGTGTCAATAAGTTCTATGGATATTCCATTTTTTATATTAAAATATTATTACAATTTAAGAATTCGAAGAGTCAAATATTAATCATATTTTCTGTATTACGACACATGATTAATAATAATTTAAAATATTTGGTATATGTCTAATGAATTGGAAATTGCTTTGTGAGGAGTACAATAATTGAATACTAAAATCATGAATATTCATTCCTTAAACTATTCGATAGTGTTCTTTAGTGAATTAATGGCTTTGGTGAGGATTTCATTTTGGTTTTAGATTTCAACCAAGATGTCTACTTAAGGTTTATTTACAGATGATGTTCTTGGACGACTGAGGGGTCTCTTTTTTTCTGAGGAACGCATTTTATGTTGTTAGATCTTATATAAATGGGATTGCAGGTGATACCATTAATTTGTAGGGCTGGGATTCATCTTCTATTAGTCGTTACTGTTTATATTTTAACATAATATTATAATTCGTTTTTGGAGTACTCATAGTAATTAAATATAAAATAATGAAACACTTCGTCGTGTTAGCCTTGATTGCGTGCATCTATGCAACATCTGTAACTGAGATGACTGACAGACTTGCCCAGTATGGTGATCATCCATTTGGAAAGTCAATGGTCAATTTGGTTTCAGTCAACATGAAGACCGGTGGATCACTCAATGAATTGAAACAACTCTTGTAGTAGATTAAGGATGAACTCATTGCTCTCACTCAATTACAAGATTAAGAAAATGCCACATTCACTCGTAGAAGCCAAGTTGATTTGGCTAAATTACAAGCTACCCTAGAATAAGCATAAGCTGATTTGGACAATTAAAGACAAGAACAATCAAGTCTTAGTAACGAGTTGGCTACTCTCTAGACCAGAGTCAAGGAAGGTAATCTTTTTATTTAATCATTACTTTGCAGATCAAGCCGCTTTAGACCGAAACAGTAGAGGAAGTGGAGACGCTCAATCTAGATTGGATGCAGAAAACACAGATTTCGCAGCTAAATATTAAGATTACAGTGATGCCATTCTCGCTTGTAAGGAAGCTTAAAGATTGCTTTTGAACTTGAGAGGAGAAGGAGCATCTTTGATTTAACTTACGTAAATTTTATTTAAAATTATTCATTGTAGTTAAGACACCAAGAGCAATCTCCTCTAAACAAAAGAGAATTTCTAGAAAATCAAGGAGATTTTGGAGGCTCATACCAAGAAGAGCTCACTTACTCTATTCCAACCAATCATCGAGGGATTGGCTGAAATGACAACCAAGGTTAATCCAGAAACTTTGAATAATGTCTTGAGTTTGGTGGCTCGTTTGATTACTGCCTTACAAGAGGGACAAGATCAATTGGAAGCCAATCACAAGACTTAAGTAAATTGAATTTTCATTTGTAGGCTGAAAACTTGACCAGATTGGGTGATGACTTGAGAAATGAGAAATAAACCTTACAAGTCTCCTTGGCCACTGCCAACAACAGACTTAAGGAAATTTAATCAAGACTCAACGAATTAGATGGTTTGATTAATATTTCAAATGCTTTGGTTGAAGTGACTCAATTGAACATTCAAGATGCCACCAAAATCAATGAATTGGAGGACTCAGAATACAGCAACCAAAAAGTTAGTAGGTATCAATATACAATTATACTTAAGATAAACTGAAATTGACATAGTTGATAGGTTGATCGAATATATCAATCAAAAACTATCTGAATGAGTTGACACAATTATATCCACACAATAATTTTAAACAGATTTATAATCAATATCCATTTCTAATTTTAATATATTCTTAATTCTATAACCTATATACTAATAGCAGTAGAATTTAATAATTAATTATTACTCTTATTAGATGAGTGAAGGTGATTAGGTGTTGGGGAAAATGGACTATTAGACATACAAAATTATCAAGGAGTAAAATGAGCAAGGCTAAGTTAAAATTACAGAAAACGAAGTAGAAATTGAGAGATTAAAAGCAACATTAAGAGAATTAATATTAAGAACGGAAGAAATGCATAAGGATTTTGAAAACCAAGAATAAGTACTTCTAAAGATTATAAAGTTAGGAAAAAATTATTTTGGAAAAGAATATTGAATAAATCAGAAGTGAAGATGAATCTAAGTAATTTAAATTGAAAGACCAATTGATTCAATTTGAAAACCGATATACAAAATAAGAAAAGCTAAATGAAATAGAATTCAATTAATAACAATTCAGAGAACCAAATAGATATTTTTGTGATGTAATTTATGTAGATATATTTAGATATAAAAATGCAAGGATGGCAAAAATTAATTGAAAATCTTGTTCCACCAAGACTTTAAGGTAAAACAGTTGTTGACTGATATTCAGTAAGACTCTACGAATTTTATTGCTTATTTGGAAAATAAAGATATTTCTCATGTGATTAAACAGCAAATTCTATCAGATTCAATTAATAATTAAGTGATGTAAGGAAATGAGATAACCATTAAAATTGAATGATTTTTTTTTGATTTAGTAATATAATTAGATAATAGTAAAAATACATAGTGTAATATTAATTTTATAATGAAAATATGTTTAATTAAACAATGACTCAGAAATTGAATCAAGATTAAACTCAGCAATAAACCAATAAATAAAGTAGTCTAAGTTCTATACTTTATTTAAATGAATAAAAACAAATGCTGCTATTGCTGAATATTGATGCAAATTGGCTTAAAATTTAAGCATTTTGTTGTAAAACAAGAGGACAATTACAGGATAGGTTATAGATAGATTTAGCAATGCGAAATCTCTCTATTAAGAATTCTATTTAAAATTGGTGCAAAAAGAAAGACTCTAATGACGAGTTTTAAGCACCAACCAATAAATTACCATCCTAACATGCACAAAATTAATAATTAAATTAAAGGTTCATAGAATAAAAATCAGTTGACTTACCAATACTCAAACCAATCTCATATGCCTTTAGATAAATACAGAATAAATATAAACAGATTGACAAGTCTAAACAAAAAAAAACACCTCTTCATTTGTCTGCCATATAATGTCCAATAAATAATGTAGAATTCAAGAAGCCAGAAATCAATAAGTCTAATAAATCGAGACTGCATTCTAATAAATTTAAAACAGTCATAGAGTTTAAAGTTGTACAAGAGAATAAATATTTTATGGTCTCAGATTAAGGAAGAGAACTTAATAATATTTAACCATAATTCAAAATTAGGGATTAAGTAGAAACCTTATACTCCTAATTTTTTGGAAGTATAAATAGAAAAAGAGCAGTGACTATGTGTAATGGACAACCAAATGAAATTGACTTTGAATATAAAACAACTAATTTGGAAGATAAACTAAAAGTACACAAATTTTGAAATATACCTTTTCATCCTATCTATCAAAAACAAAATTTTACTAGCAAATAAATATTAAATATATACAATAATTTATTTTCTACTTATTCAACTATTACTCTTCCTCATTAAAGAGCGGTTATTGTTAAGATTCCATGAAAATGATACCATTTTTAAGATAATTCCAAATTACACACTTACCGAAGTTAGAAAAATAAAATCTTATCGAATTTGTAACAATCTTTTTCTTTATGTTATTAAAGATAATATTGTCAGTCTTATCAGAAATAAATAATAATCTTGCATAATTAACTTTTTTAAATACTAACATTCTTGAAATATTTAAAGGCTTGTTATCAAATAAAACTTAATTTTCCATATATCTAAGAAGAGTAAGCATGCGATTTATTTGTTATTTTATAATTTATATATTATTTTTTTATATTCTTTATCACATCTCTAAATAGAATTAATCTTAAATCAATTACAAGCCTACTAATTTACAATAAAAGTTATAATATGAATTGAGCAATTAGCAATCTATCAAGATGAATATAGCCTTTTGGATTGTTATTCTCATCTACCATTGAGTTTCTAAATACAAGAAAATGGTAAGCTTATATTGCTTAAATCTCATTCATATATTCTATTAAATATTCATTAAAATTAATATTATAAATTATATTATCATCAACTTTTTGAACGAATTATCGATCTACGAAATAATATTGCATTTGCTATAGTACTGCATTCTAATAGTAAAGGCAGCAAGCAAAACAAACTGAAAATCGCCCAAATATAATCATAATCCCAAGAATCCAAAATAAACCATGCTAAAATTACAGAACCTAGGGAATGTAATAATATTTCTAGATAAAAATTAATATTATTCGCTTACATATTAACATTGTTTTTTCGAAATTCATAGTCCATCCTGTGGCTAGTATTATCATTTCAACAGCTAGAAATATGACCGAGAGTGTGACACCAGCTTATAAGCTTGATTTAATAACAATGTATTTACGATGATTCAGCCAATTGATCATTTGGAAAATTCAGCAAATTTTCATACTAAGATGAGATATGTTTGATACTTATGATTGATAGATGACACATGTTATGATTAATTGGACCATTTGACTTACAAATTTTGCAGGAACAAGAATTTCGGCCGCCGACATTTTTAATTTTAAATTTATATATTTTTATTTAAGAGAAGGTAATAATGAAGTTGATTTGATAAATGACAATAACAATTATCTAATTCATAGGATAAATGATAACTTAATAAATCAACTAAATGCTTAACTTAATAGATTGAAGAATGAATTATCAAATAAGAAATGTGTAATCTAATCAATAATCCTCCAAAATTTGAAACAATAAAAATAGAACAATTTCAAATAATTATGTTCTAACTACATGTTAAATATGTAAAAAGGACGTATTTGGATGATGAAACCTAAAAATCGAAGGAACTATTGTTAATCTAAAACATTTTTAGCCTCCTTTATTTTAGCTTATAAAATTCTAATATTCTGTCAAACCAAGTGATGGTAGCAAATAAAATAGATTATAATTAATGCAATCAGTTATGAGACAGAATGATAATGGAGATTCATTAATTTCAATAAAATAGGAAATAATAGCCAGGCTATAAGTCTTTGTGATTTTTTATAAATATATGTAAAATTCAACATTTAATATTTCTATAAATGCTTATTTTAACCATCAGCTTGAAATAAATAGATTATTAATAATAACAAGTCTATAAAAAATTTGACTAATCATATGAAATTTATTGTTAAACAACCACCATAACTGTTCAAGAGTAGATTTGAATAAATCAAAAAAATTTAGTTAAAATAAACATTGCATTGTTATTCTAATTTGTATATATACTATTTTCAATTTTTCTAAATTTTAATTTCCAATGAATAATTAAAACTTCGCACACTCTTAATTTTTAAGGTGAAGATAAAATTCAATAAAGTTAAATCTCAACATCATTTGAATTTGTGATGGTGAATATACTTAATCCAATTCAAAAAGATGTAAATTCTAGAGATGACATATAGAGATTAGCGCGCAAGGGAAATTCTATTTTATTTGTTCTTCTTCTTTTGTTGATTAATGATAGGAATATGGCAGCCTAAATTTAATTTTAACAATAATTAAATCAACTAGAATATATTTAATTAATAACTATTTTAGTTTAATTCTTATTATAAACTTCCTAGTGGCAATTGAATAATTAAAATTCTAAATAATTAATTAAATTTGCGGAATATTCAAAATAATATATTATTGTGCATGAAGATAGGCCTGGGCGATGGAGGCTGCCTATTGGAAATTAAGGGGAAGTTAAAGAATATTCTAATAATCGAATAATCGAGATTTATATGTTTAAATAAATTTTATGATTTAATATTTAAAAATACAAAATTTGTGATAAAAAAACAATGAGTTTATAAGAATAGCTTCTTAATGTGATCCATGGTGTGTTCTCGCCAGATAATGCCACCAGATAAAAGGCAGAGGAGTTACTAGCCTAATATAGAGATTCTTAGCCAAGTGAATTTGTGACTGCAATGCTCCATCTATGCAGACATGAAGAATTAAAAATCAGATAGTTTGCTCCAGTGTACTTGAGAAACTCACTCAGTAACTATTCTCCCAAGAGTCATAAAAATGTATGGAGCCTTCTCGCTCCTGAGACCTAGGAGATAGTTAAAGTGTCATTGTTCTAATTGTTGGAACTCGAAACAAGTTCGAATGTGAGAAGCCAATTGTGTGATACAATAGGAGAACTCGGAGGATCACTCTTTGAAGATGAAACTAAAAATTCTTGGCCCAATCTCTTATAAACCTTGTGGTAATTGTTCTTGTCCCCCAAAAATGACTTGATCGAATGTGGATTCAAGATCTTGGCCAATCTTTTCACCTACGCTATCGATCTATTCAATAAGCATTAAGCCGATCTTCACACTTTGTTCATCTAAGGGTTAGCCAGTCCAGATCAAAAGATTAAGACAGCCACAATCTAGGCAATTGGTAATTATGTGACCACATCTGAACCCAAGTAATACAGAGCATTCCAAGACCTCATCCCCAATCTTATGTAATCAGCATTGTCTGTTACAATCGCAGATCAAACTTTGGGTGAAGACATAATGGAAACCTTCTCTGAAATCGTAGATGCAGAGCCAAAATTCTTTAGAAAGCAAATCAACGTATTTTTCAATGGAATCGCAGCCATCTTCAGAGAATCTTAAATCGAGTAAGGGTTGAAGAGAATCGGAACAGAAACCTTGATAAGTTTAGCTGAGAAATTCCCAAGAGTCTTTAAATAAGACAAGCAATACCTCAGTCAATTGGTAGAGATGATCTTCTTCCACATGATCCAAATAAGTTAAACAGTAACTGAAGAATGGATGAAACCAGCTGAAGGATTCAACGACGATATCCAATAAGACGAAGATTGTGAAACCACAAGATTCGGTATGTCTTCAATTGATAGACTGATCGAATCTATTGGTGATAAGGAGATGTTACCAGTATTGAGTCCAATTGTTAACTAATTATTACAACATTAAGATTGGAGATATAAATATGCTGCCATTTTGGCATTATCATAAGTTGGTGAGTACATCGAGGAAGTGGCTGAAGTCAAACCCATCATTGATTTAGTGTCTCCCATGTTGAGTGACTCAAATCCTATGATTAGATATGCAGTTTGTCATGCCATTGGTCAAATAGCTGATGACATGAAGCCTAAGTTCTAGGAAAACTACTTGCATCTCATAGTCCCATAATTCTTAACCAGATTGTAAGTCGAAGATGTTCCAAGAGTCACATCTCACATTTTGGCTGCCTTGACCAATTTTGTTGAGGGAACTGAAACGGGAATTGAATCCTACTTGCAAAACCTCATCCAATTGACAATCCAATATTTGAACAATGGAATTTCAATTGTCAAGGAGAATGCCATGAGTGCCTTGGCTGCTACAGCTGAATCTAGCAAATAATAATTCCTTCCTTACGTGAATGAAATTGTTCCATTGTTATTCCAAGTGTTCTAGAATCATCAAAATAAGGAATATAGATAATTGAAGGGATAGACAATTGAGACCATTACCTTGATCG